GAAATATATACAATTTCCATACACACATATATATACAGGGTGTCCATGAAGTTTGTGTACAATTTAAAATAACCAACTATTTTAACTGCATAGAACTTCATGGACACCCTGTATAACGGGTCCGCAAATTGAAACATTTGAGAACCACTGCCCTGGAAAAACAGTACAATGTTAAGCTCCTGTCAATAGGAAACAGTTTCTCCTGCTCTGTCACAGAGGTGTATTCCCCCTGCCGTTTTATATACCTGTGCTGGGAACCTGCTTCATCAATTCTCAGCCATACTCAGCTTACAGGGATGAAGAGATGCAGCAGAAGGTTATGAAGAGAGATGTTTCTCACAGTAAGAAGGAACTTCCCAAAGCTCTTATATAAATATGAATTAAAGGGCAAAGTGAAAACAGGGATTTAAAACTTCCATGGGCATAAAAGAGATTAGAAAATCAACATCAGGGCTTAACCTCTGTGCAGCTTCTCCCAAAGATTCTGAGTGAGACAGATTTGTCCTTCTTTTTTTCTTTATAGGTGAGTATATCCCTCACATGTAGTGTCTGGCACATCATGTCTTCTGGATATTTGGGTAAAAAAATGAATGGCTCTATGGGTGAATGGGTGGACAAACAAGTGGGTAAAGAAAAGGATGGGGAGATGACCTGGAAGAGACAAAAGCTCAGACACAGAGAGGGTTTCGACAACTGGAGGAAAGGTACAATAACCAACACGACACATAGAATTAAATACACAACTAACCTTACAAAGAAAAATACAAGTTATGTTTCCAGACGGAGACTGCATTTAACAGCTATGAATAAACATAGCACTTGTATGCTGCAAGGTGTGGATAACAGGAACAAAAATTAAAACAAGGTGAGGGGATTCAAAGAAGGTTTCCTTGGAGTATTGAGATTTTTAGGGTGGCACCTGTGGCTCAAAAGAGTAGGGCGCCAGCCTCATATGCTAGAGGTGGTGGGTTCAAACCCAGCCCCAGCCAAAACTGCAAAAAAAAGAGAGAGATTTTGAGCTTGGTCCTGACCCTGGACATGCATCAGTAGAAAGGAAATAGCAGAGCATTCCAAGTGGAGGAAAACACAGTATCCATATGAACCAGCAATGTTGACCAACACTTCCTTGAGCAGGGAGATCACACAGGGATGTGGGAGTTGTGAAACCATAAGAGGAATAATATTTATCTTGCATCCAGAGAAAATTGAGCTTTGTGATGTGCAACTCTCCTCTTAACTTATTCCAGTTTCAAGGCATCCATAATTCCAAAAGGATGGATTTACCTTCCCACTGACTTTCTTCTACCCTCAACAATGGAATGGTGATAAGACCTCCTGAAAAAAGAAAACATTACCACACATTTAGAGAAACTTTGATTCTTACTGGCATTGCATCAATGAGAACACCAGACTTTTGGAAACTTAATTCAGTTCACAACAACATGCATTTACTGAACACCAGCTGTATTCATAACAATATGCATTTACTAAATACCAGCTGTATACTAAGAACAATTCTAAGCA